AAAAAAATGGTAAAAGGGTTGCACTGTATTTACTGAAATTGTAGGCTACTGTATAACTGATATGGGTGTGCAAAATGGGCCATATGCAATTCGGCTTCGGACCGAATCGGGGACGGTGATTCAATTTGTTGATTCGGATCACATCCCCAATTCAATTCAGCCAAATCTGAAGAATTGATGCTGATTCAGAGAATCAGTGACTTGGCCATAGACACAGCTTTAAATGTTTTTTCTGCATACCTCAAGGTACCAGGCGTGGCATGTGAACACTCTGATACTGGGGTGGATGGAGCTGTCCCACAGGAGCGTGGGAGGGGGGGGCCCGTGTGCTCGGCGGCAAACCGGAAGTGGAACAAAAGTACTTCCATTCCACTTCCGGGTCCACCGCCAAGCACGCTGGGGGCCCCCTTGCACCCTCCTGGCTCAGCAATTGGCCGCGGGAGGACCCTGGGTGCCCCCCCAGACCCAGAAGGCACCAGTTGCCAAGCTGGGGGAATGTATGGGGGGGGCCCCCAGTGTTCTTCCCAGCAAACCTGGAAGTGCTTCCAGTCCACTTTCGGGTCTGCTGCCGAGCATGCTGGAGACCCCACTGCGCTCCTGTGGAATGCTCTGTCTGCCCCAGCATCTCGGCATTCACAAGTCACCTGGTACCTTGAGGTATGTAGAAAAAACATTTAAAGCTATGTCTATATCTGAATTGTCATATCTTTCTGAATCTCTCCAAATACATTTAGAGGGCTCCGATTCGATTTGAAGAGATTAAAGGGTCTCCTGATTCAATTCAGTTTCAGAGATTCGGCCACTGAATCGGACCAAATCTCTGCTGAATCAAATCAGCAACCGAAGCTTCACATAGCCCTAACAGCTGAAACCTGTTTCACTCGCATCTCCTTCTCAGGATTGGATATCCCGTATGCATGCTCACTTGCAAAGACTTCAGCATCTTTGGCATTTACCATAATCAATTTAGCCCCTCCAGTACTACTTTGTGGGCTTATATTAGGCATAGAGCTAAATTAATATCTCAAATACCACTCCAGCCCCTGCTTACAAAGCTGTGATAACTAGTTGGTAAAGATTTCAGTCCTAGCAGCTACCCTGGCCTGTAATTAAGGCCAAATGCCCAGGTTTTCTTTAGAGCCAGCCTCACAACCTTTAGTACATTTTTTTCTACTGAAAGAAGAAGGGACCCTGCTGGTAGTCAGGAAAGGAAATCACTTTTCAAGCAGGCTGTTCTGCTGAAGGGTTGAATGGCCTTTCTCTCTGTTTAGTCAGTTAGGCTCCACAATGTTTACGAAGATCTTATCAGAATTAGAGGGTCTCTATATAGTATAATCAAGTGCCCACAATTGGCAAAAAGCTCTTACTTCAGTTGCCTTCCATAGAAGTATGGAAACCATACTTTGGCTTCTATGTATATCTCTCACCCAGTAGAGCATTGCTTTCTTACATCAAGCTTTTAAAAATACCAGTTTTCATACAGCAGCCTCCCCCTCATCTCTCTTTCCCCTCTCCCCAACTCCCCCAAGGAAAGAGGACTTCTCTCCAAAAGGAATTAAAGAAAGGAAGACCCAAAGACAGCTCTCATGGCTGCAAGACGCGTTAGTGCTCTGCTGTGTTGCTTAATCAAATCTTTGTGGTGATGTGGTACAAATGATACCTTTATAAGAATGATCCAATCTCCTTATCCATTATGCAATAGACAAGGACTGTAGTGATGTTGTTCACTTCAATGCCACAAGCCAAATGAGATTTCTTTCCCAGATTTAATTTATTTTTTCAGTCATAATGGATCCAGTGCATCAAAGCCTCCTCTTGGTCAGTGTATTATTTTATTAAAGCAAGGCCATATTTTATTTCATAAGTGCCCCTGCCAGTTCCAATGTTTATTACTGGAAACGGGTTGAGTAATAACTTGCTGCGCCAGTGGGTTTTTAATAGAAGTTGAAATTTAGATTTACGCTGTACTTTCTAAATGGAACAAAAATTATTTTAAAAATCAAGTTTGAAATTCCTTTTTAAGGGGTCTCATTCTCTGTAAATCTTTTTCACTTTATGTAGTTGTTACTGCATTTAACAGTGGTACTGCCATTAATATGAAATGACCATGGAAATTGTTCCTATGTTCCTTTGCCAAGACGTCGATGTTTGTTTGTATAGACTCTACTTGATATTGATGTTGTGATAATCCTTAAAGACATGGTGTATGTCTTATTTTACATCTGTTCTAATAGATTTGATCTGGAAGATGTGAAAAATGCTGGACTTTTTCAGAAATGGTGCATCATTCCTGTTTTGGGACTTATAGAAAACTCTCTGTATGATAATGTACTGCTGCATAATTCCTTCTGTCTTCTGCTGCAAATCATAAATTCCTGCTCTAAAGTGGCAGACATGCTGCTTGATAATGGTTTGTTGTATGTCCTGTGTAATACATTAGCAGCACTCAATGGACTGGAACAAAAGTAAGTGTTTTATTTATAAAACTTCAGACTTGTTCCAAAAAAAATTTAAGAATTTTAAATATGAACTTCAGCATATTGTATAGACTTCTGATTCCTGTGAATTTAACAGATCAAAATCCTTAAATGTCAGAAGTTTATTGTATAGTCTGAAACTTCAAGATATTTGTCAACTTCATGTACTGTAATTATGTTGGACTATTTTCCAAATTTTGCTTTGGTTATTCAGGCTATTTTTTTCCTTTGGCTATTCAACTTTTTCAGGAACTATAAAACTAGGTACAATTACTTGTTTGTAATATGAGGGGTTTTTCTAGTCTAGTATTTGGGAATGAATGAAAAGTACTTGATTTTGTAACAAATATGGAAGTCAGTTGTACAAATAATTTTCTGTAGTCGTGTTGTATATCACTTAAATGGTTCTAGTTGTAATAACTAAAACTGACTTTATTTACAGCATTCCCTTGAATGACTACAAGCTACTTGCATGTGATATTCAACAGTTACTAGTCGCAGTCACAATCCATGCCTGTAGTTCTTCAGGATCTCAGTACTTTCGTGTTGTCGAAGATCTTATTGTATTATTGGGACATCTTCAGAATAGTAAAAATGAGAGGACACAAAGTAAGTCAGGAACTCTTTTGCCTTTTTTCTCAGATCTTGTGGGAGATAGGGGAGGGGGGAGTAAGATAACAGTAAAATTTCAAAGTGGATACTCCAGTCACAAAATTGATTTTGATTTTCTGGTATGGACCTTAAGTTATAGTTGTATGGGGTATAGTTAGGGATCTGTATTGTGGTTTGCAGTTAGTTACTACTAATTCAGGTGAGTAGTAACTGAAATTCTACTTGTACTTTTTACTACTTTTGATGCACTAAAATGAAGTACTCAGGGGTTCTATTTTCTCCCAAAAAAAAAATAAATAAATAAACGACCAGATTTTAGTCTTGAGGGTTCTATCTTGGTTTATTTCCTCTTTGTTTTGTATGCTTTGGTTTGAATACTATGGCACACACATGATATTGAGCCAATTTTTGTAGATGACGTTCTTAGTATCCAAAAATGCATAGCCTCTCATATTACAGATATATGGGGACATTGTAACTGTGTATTTTTAAAATGTCTCCTTTTTGAAGACTCCTTAAAATATCAGCATCAAGATTCATTAAAAGTTACTAGCGTCTCGGATACTTTGCAATACTTCATAGAAATATGGATAGAGAAAATGCTAACATTTGGGTTACTTATGTAGTTACCTTAAGGAAAATTTCACGTGTTCATTATTCATTTTATAGATATGGCAATTACACTGCAGTTCAGAGTTCTTCATGCAGCTATTGAATTAATAAAAACTACAGCAAACCAAGATTCTCAGGAACAGGCCAACTCTCTACATTTACCTGCTACCTGCCATCATGCAATGTTACAGAAACGTAAAAGCATTGCTGGTGAGTGGCAGTACTATAGTGTGTTGTGATTTTTGTTTTTGGAATTGCTCTGCTCTCCCTTGGAATAGAGTTAATGACATTTATCTAAGTTGATATTTAGGCAATAGCTTTCTTTCTGTGACTGTTTTGTAATAATACATCAATTGTTTATATGGTTATGTATCTCTTGGGAAACTTTCATAACTAATATATTTATAGCTTAGCAAAAAACAGCGTTGGAAATAAGGTGCATCTTATTTGGAAATCTATGAAAAAATCATTTTAAAAGTCAAATACAAGCTTCAGAGTAGTGGGGAAACTTGTACTATTTTTATAGAAAAAGTATCATTTGTGTGTGTTGGAGAGGGAGTAGATTGCAATAACATTTTCTGCACCCCAATAACTTTATACTATATCATTCCAGAAACTGTATTCAGCCCTGCTTTGAACAGAATCTTAAGTCATGAGGTTGTTCCCTACATGCAGCGTAGTAGGTGTGGGGAGGTGGGAGGAACCCACATTTTCGGGATCTCGCACAGAAAAAATAGGAAAATAGCTAGGAATATAACATTAATTCAGAACCCTGTCAATATTGTATTGCAGTTAGTCTTAATTAAATGATCAAATCTTTTTCCACACAGGACCATATGGTTATATATTTAAAGACTGTTTCATACTGCTTTTTTCACAGGGGTGGTCTATAACGCTGACATTTCTTAACCTTTGGTGTATGAAACTTCTGCAACCCTAACATTTTAAAATACTTTTTAGAAGTATTTAATCTACAGGAACTTTGAATGTGCAACTTCCTAGATTCTGTGGCCACTTTCCCCTCCACCAGAAGGTTTTTTGGTTTAGGCTTAGGCTTATCTGCAATGTGTGGTTCACCAACAGTGTTTGGACTTTTTAAATCCACTACACAAGAAGTGCTCTTTTCACTTTTGAAGTAGCATTTGGTAGGGTGGTGTTACCTTCTGGATCAAGCACCTGGGGTATGAGATTTATGCCTTTTCAGAGTTTCGTAGCTACTTGTTGATAGAGGATTGTAGCAAGGACCCCAGGGTTCACTTTCCAGATCCTAACTGAGTTTGCTCCTAGGGCCTATGAACCTACCTAGCCTGGATCCTCAGTTTCTGGCCTACTCTACTTCTATCATACTCAATGCCCTCACTCATTTTTTCTGTTCTCTGCTTTCTAATTAGGTAGCCTTCTCTTTCATTCACCCACCAATAGAGAGAGCACTGAGCTGGAGAGAATTGCTCAGTTCCTCTGCTAACACTGCAGCAGCCCCTGCCTGATCAGAGGAACAATTGCAGTAAAAGTACTGTTTTGCTCCTACAGCCAATAGTGGCACGTGCTCGTTGAAGACTGACTCTCGATAATTTTATCTGCTAAATTCTGTCTCTATTGAGCACGTGCAAACTGATTTAGAAGAAAAATTTCATTAGAATACAAAAAGGCACACACCCGATAGTGGGTGATATCCCTGTTGTCAAGTTGTAGGTCCAGTCTTCAAATCAATGAAGAAAAATAAAGAAAATATATTTTGCCCATATTAATCTTGTTCCTAGAAACATAGTCAAACCACTTTAGCAGAAGCTTCTGGCATGGGATGAGGGACATAATCAGTTTCAGTGATCATTTTATATGTTTTGGGATTCTTCTGTCTGGAAAATGTTTTCCTAAATCAAGGCTGTCATTTATATATGTGTAAGACTTAACTTGAGACAACTCATCAGCTATGTTTTTTGTTAATTGTTTAAAACAAGGTTCAATTGCAATGAAAGATTCCATTATTCCTCATCTACCAAGACGACATGTCTATTCGTATGGTCAGTTTCTAGCGACCCCCTCCTTCAGTTTGTTAAATCTGGAACTACCCGTACAGTTTCCCACCGGATCCACTTCATATACATTCCTTCCAGCAGCAGGTGCAGTAACGGTGATAGTGATGCCTACCAATGCATCCTAAAAAAAACATTTCACAAAAAAATGTTTCTGCAGGATTAGCTTGGTAAAAGTGCATCTATCAAAATAGATCAGTATGCACCCAGTGTGTTTGAGCTGTTAATATGCCTTGCTAATTCCCGGTTCGTATGGCTAGAAACTATTTTTCTAACAGCATGCTAGAGTAAGAACAAATAATATGATGAGTAATATATTGACGCTGTAAGAGCAAGGTAACAAAAAACGGTGAAAATCCAGAAACTATTTTGTACTGTGAACACTTTTTTAAATTACATCAGTTTATATAATCTAAAATGCAAAATTACAGATTTTTTTTTTTAAAAGATGTCTTTACAGCTTTGTTGCAAACTCTTTACTGGATTACGTATTACTGTTTCTTTGATTTCATATGCATCTTATTTTCAACAGGAAAAAATTTACACTTACATTTAAAAAAACCAAACAAACAAACCCAGAACCCTGACAACTTTGGCATTCCAATTCCCTTTAAACTAATATTTCGGTTATCTTTCTTTCTAACAGTAGCTTTCTGAATGTAAGCTGTTGATGAATCTAACTTACAAATGACGTGACTTTTTCCTTAGACTGATTATTAATATTTCTGCCTCAGGTTCCAGAAAACTTTCCATTGCTCAGTCTGATACGCTGCTGATGAAAATGCGTTCAGTAGCAAGTGATGAACTCAATATGATGATACAGCGGAGAATGAGCCAAGAGAATCCAGTCAGAGCTACTGAAACTGAGTTTGTGCAGAGGTTACAGAGACTAACTGTTCTAGCTGTTAACAGGCTCATTTATCTAGGTAGGAACAAAAAAATTACTTTTATATTCATACTTGCATTGACAGTGCCAGCATTTTGTTGCATTAAAAAAAATGATTCATGTTCTCTTACTGGTTCATTGTAAGTTTGAAGGAACAGAGAGCAGGAGTTTTTCCAGATTTATGATTCATTTGGATTAATTAGCTGTTTTTTGTGGAGTTTTTTTCCAAATCTTCCCTGCTATCATCAGTGTTTGACTTTTGCTTCATGAATTAAATCCTCGACAGTTGGATTGGATTCAATTTCATTCTGTCTGTACCCATCTATTTCATTTACCAAGACTCTCTAGCTATATGAGGCTTTTTAATAGAACAAGTCTGAGAATATTACCATATGGGTGTAAACCAATTTATTTGTCCTGGGTCACAATAGGAGGAACACAGTCACTTATACACGGTAGCCTTTCCAAGCTGCATTACTACTCCTCTAGTAGGTACCTTCTTCCAGTAAGTAGCTAGGGAGAGCAGACAGCCTGACAAGCTTGTCCCTGGAATGACCCAGAGTAACCTTACAGAGTCACACCAGGTTTGGGATGTGGGGGAACTGTTAGCACACTTAATCTGGTATGCTTCACAGGTACTTGAAGCAGGACAAAGAATCTGAACTCCTGTAGGGCACAGAGACAAAAGGCTTTCTTGGAGGAGAAATACAGCATCTGCTTATAGCCTATAAAGTCCTTCCCCAATCCTCAACATTGGGGGTTCAACTGATGCCCTGTGGCTGCAAATGACCTGTGAATGGTAAAATTGTGGCCTGCAGGGCTTGTCAAGCATGGTCCTGGAGCTGCTGTGTTGATATGGTTCCAGAACCCCACCACTACTGCTTTTCCCATGGCTTCCTTCCCTACCCTGTCCCCCAAAACCATTGCCTACAGCAGGGGAGGGCAATTATTTCAGGCAGAGGGCCGCTTGATGAGTTTTGGTGAGCTGTCAAGGGCCGCATGAGTAGCCCCACCCCTTCAGTTGCCCCATCCCCTGGTCACCATCTTGGGACCAGAAGTCCCGCCCCATAACCCCTGACCTTTGCCACTGGACATCCCTCCCCTTGCCCCTGGAAGTACGCCTTTTGGAAAGGTGGCCTTGGAACCTGACCCCTCCCACAAGCAAGGACGCAGCCCACCCCATCAGGTCCCAGGCCTCAAAAGCTGGCCAACCCCCCACACCCATCACTGGTGCCAGCATGACCTGGTCCTGACCCAGCCCAGGTCCCCTCGCCAGCATGGCACTCTCTCCAGTGCTGTAGGACCTCTCCTGTCCCAAGCCACAGGGGGTTCAGCCACAGCTTTCCCTCCCCAGTGCAGCCCGGCCAACCCATCCCATCCCCTATCAAGCAGTGCCTTCCCCACATGCTGCTGCACTTTCCCCTTACCTGTGCCCAGCTGGTCCCAAAAAGCGGGACGCTGCACTGCCACTTCTGCTGGCCAGTGCCAACCCAGCTGGGCCCTGTTCCCAGCAGCACATGGGAAGCTGGCTTCAGCCACATACTGCTCCAGATGAGACGGACCCCGCCAGGTCGGCACCGGCCAGGAAAAGCGGCATGCAGCTGAAGTTAGCTTCCCGTGTGCTGCCGGGGATGGGAGGAGCCTGGCTGGGTCTGCACCAGTGAGCAGAAGCAACAGCAGAGCTTTGTGCCATTTGGGACTGACCAGTGCAGGTAGGGGGAAAATGCAGCTGAGCCCCTACCACTCTGGCTGGGCTCGTCCCAGCCTGAGTGGCACACGGCTCTGCCATTGCTTCTGCCAGCCAGTGCAGACCTGGCCAGGGTCCTCCCATCCCCAGCAGCACATGGGAAGCCGGCTTCAGCTGCATGCCGTTTTTCCTGGCTGGTGCCAACCCGGCTGGATCCATCCCATTTGGAGCAGCATGCAGCTGAAGCCAGCTTTCCAAGTGCTGCTGGAGACGGGAGGAGCCCAGCTCGGTTGGCAGCGGCCAGCAGAAGCAGCAGCAAAGCCATGTGCCACTCAGGACTGACCGGCACAGGTAGGGGGAAAATGTAGCTGAGCTGTGGCCCAGCTCGTCCCATCCCGTCCCAAGTGGCACACAGCTCCACCACTATTTCTTTTCCCTGGTGCTGACTGGACTGGAGTTGCGGCCCAGCTGCTGCTGCTTTCCCTCCCCAGTGCCAGCCCAGCCTGACCCCGCACAGCCTGAGTGGCACGGCACAGCATGGGGAAAGCCTGCCCAGCAGCCACTTTCCTGGGCTTACCTGCAGGGCAGGGCCCTTTCCAGTCCCGTGTAGCAAAGCAGAAGCTGCCCAGACACAGTTTCCTCTCACTGGTGCCACAGGTTCTGGGCCAGCCCCCCCCACCCCTCTCAAGTTGCAAATGTGGTCTGAACCAGGGTGGGGCAAGGCCAGCTGGGGTAGGCTGAGGTCAGGGTTCGTTGTCTTGCAACCAGAACCCAAGTAAACAGCCTGAGGTGCTGCTGGAAGCTTTTAGAGAGGCAGCCACGATTACCTGGGTTTTGAAGGGGCTCCGTGGGCTGGAGGGAAGTGCTTGGTGGGCCAAATCTGGCCCGCAGGCTGTATTTTGCCCACCCCTGGCCTACAGCCAAATATGCTCTTGGCAACTAAAATCAGCAGCAGGGGAAAAGCATGGATCAGCAGCAGTGGTGTTCATCCCCCTGGGTTCTGAAATCAGGCCATGCAGTGGATCCAGATCCAGCCTGTCAGAGCAAGTGATTTTGACACCCCTTCTTTACATGTCGCTATATCCAGGCACTCCGTGTACCCAGTCAGCAGTTTACTCAGGCCTTTCAGGTCCTAATGCCTCCACTTAATTGTAATAATCTTTGGGGCTAGAGGTTGAGTACCTGCATTTCAGCTTCCTAGTATGGCCAGCCACTTTCTCAGTCCCTGTCCCTCAGGGTTGACTGGAAGGTTCCACTGTTCCAATCAGTGGAAAAGCAGGGTCTTCAGAAGTGACAGCCCTGCTCCCACCAGCAAGAGCCTGGCCTGCTGGCAAAATTGAGCAGTGCTGATTTCCAAGTTGCATTGAATTGCTTAAAATTAAGAACTGCATTATTGCATTAACATGCATTAAGGAACCTTAAAATCAGAAATCTAGTGCATATGGCCTACTGCTATTAGTCATATGTTTTTTATGTTTCTGTGAATTTCGTGAATATTCATTTATGAGGGTCTCATGTTCTTTTTCTACTCTGTGAAACTTCAAACATATGGGAGTTGTGTATGTGGAACACCTACAGAATTGAGCTTTATTTATTTATTAGCCCTAAATATTGAGCCTAGATGAGTGACTTGTTTAGCTTTTTATCTACAAACTAGTGAATGTTCATATATGTACTGTATTGTACAGCTGAATGGGTTTAATTACAAGAACAGCATGGTTAGAATGGTCTAAGATGAAATTGCTCTATTTGTGCTTTTTAAAATTTTAAGAATCTACTCAGGATTGCCTTTATGTACTGGGTGCACCAGAGACCACAATCCAAAGCAGACTTTCAGCATCTCAGTTGGAAGCATCTGAAGAGGAAGAGCACCGAGAGCTGCCTAATGATACAAATCCTTTTCTGAAAGAAATGATCAAAATACTAATTGAGGGGATCAAAGTATCTATTGTAAGTAACAGGAGAGCAGGTGCATATTATATTGCATTTCTTAAGACACATCCATTATGAAAAGTTTTTGACATACATTTGTTTCTATTCATAAATACTGAGGTTGCTGCATTTCAAGATGCATCCCAGGTATTAGAAAAGGTGCATATAATTTCCATGTCACTAAGTAGTTATTTAAAAGAATGCATCCTGACACTAGATATCTCTTCTTACTGTATGCTCTATGCTACAGATGAAGGAAAAACTGCCTACAGTCTGTGCCAATATGACCTAAAAGAAAAATTCCCTCCTAACCTCAAATCCAGTCACTTGGAATGGCCCTGAACAGAAGAGTAATACCCACCAGTCAGGAACCCTGAGTTTTCTAAGTACTGCCAGGCCAATCGGTGTACCCCAATCAGAAAATAAATCAATCTATTCTAGTCCTAATGCTTCAGGGAAAGGTGAAAAAATTCCCCAGAAGTTAGTTAGTATTTATGGGAGCAAAGGGAATCCTTGTCTGGCCCCTATTAGCAACAACCCTTAAGAGTAGGTTTTTCAGACACCTTCTGCAAAAAGCTGTGTTTAGGGCATGCGTGTCTCTTTGAGTTTTGTTTTTTGTTTCGCTTTTTTTAATGTATCCCTTCCAGCTACCTGCAGTCTAGCTTTTCGTGCTGACCAGGTCATTCAGAAGTGACTTGCAACAAATTAAATAAAAATAGCGTTGGTTTCTTTTTGTTGCTTTGATTTACATAGAAGCAAAGTTGTTTGTTTTTTAACTTCAGAAACATTGGGAATGTCAAATCTGGCCTTCTGAGGCTTTGTTAGAGGACATCTTCAGACGTCTTGGAAAAATTGGTTTCTTCCAACACCATGACAAAAGTCTGCTTTTCAAATTTTTTTTTTTTTTACAGAGGCTTTATTTTTCATAATGTTTGTTT